TTCAGCTAATTCTTTTCCTCTCTTTTTTGGATTTTTCTCAACTTCTGTTCACGTCTTTAACTTCCTGCAAGTTTTCTCTATCTTTGGATTGTAAGGTAGCAAGTCTGATTTTGTACTCCAGCACTAATACACTCCCTCAAGGTTAGAAAGTAGGATACTTTTGGAACGGAAACAATGTAGTGATCGCATACACAAACAATTCACAATAGGGGTGTTCAAAAAATCCGACAACTCGACGAATCCAACCCAACCCATAAAAGATTCAAGTTTGTGAAAGTTGAACATATAAGGCCCGTTTGATAATATTCTCGTCTATTGTTCCTCGTTTTCAAGTTTTATTAAGAAATCTAAACATTTTGCAATTAATTATATTTCTTATTTCTCATTTKTTGAGAACACCCTCAAAATTGTATAGAAATTTTGAAAATAATCAAAGCAAGTTTCTCGTTTCCATTTCCAATTTGTTACAAAATGTAAATATAAATATTATTTAACTATTCTTGATTGAATTCATCGATATTAAAGGTCATACAATTTTATTTTTATTTATTAAAAGTGAAGAAACATAAATAAGAAAAGAGAATGTTACCAAACGGATCAACTTATCAACGCATTACTTAAGTTTGAATCCCCTGCTTCTTTATTGAATTTTCTTTAAAAAAAATAATAGCAATAATGATTGTCTACAGCCCAACATTTTATTATTATTAAATGTGTGTTTATTTTCTACTAACATGTTTATTTATTAATGAATCAATCAAATTTCAAACTAGTAAAAATAAAATTTAAATATCTATGGATAATAAAAATTGAGAAAATATTCCCTCTTAATTAGCGAGCATAAAAAAGTTCAGATATTCAAATATCTGTCAATACGTATTTGTAAATTTGAGTTATCAATTTCAACGACATCAATATACGTTTTCATCACTCAAATCTGATTGATTAGATTGGTGATTTAATCTAAGCTTGAGAACAAGATTAAAATAGTTACACGTGAAAGATGAGTACTCCCGAAGTTAAGAAAGGAAACCAAAATGTGGTAAGTTATTAATTAAATTACAACCAAAACTAGAGTAAAATCTTGTTGATGTGCATTCCCCTGAAAGTATCCTAATTTTCTGGATAGTTTATGCATTTATAAGTTTACCATATTATAACTTGATTAAAAAAAAAAAGCTTCCAAAAATGGATTAATATTCTACGGAGATTTTTTTCCCTTTTTAAATGAGAAAATGTGTGTAAGACAAACCAAATTAAACGCTGCCAACAATACCTGAAAGTTTCTCTGGAACAAGGCTAAAATTGAAATTTCCCAGTTAAATTATAAATTTAGTTCATGAACCTTAGTAGTTGTTCAATTACGTCCGTTAACCATAAAAGGTTTTATTTACGTTCATGAACTTTCAATCTTGATTCTAATAAGTCCTTGTGGATGACACCATCACTTAGATATTAACTGACACGCTGGTTGAAGAGTAATGACTTTACACAATATGATACAAGCAACTAGGCCAACTAGATAAATTAGATTTAACAGGCTGAAAATTTTGGTCTAAAATTTACTATGTCTAATCGTCATTTTTATTCAATCAGCATAATCACATCGTGTCAAATCATCGTTCTTAGTTCAACCAGCATTGGCACATCAATATTTAAGTAACATGGAAGCTACAAGTTACTATAATAAAAATTATCTTCTAAGTTTGAAGACATAATTGAAACTTTGTAAAGTCGTATGAACTCTAAATAAATGCAACCATCATAAAGGGAAATATGTTCGATTACCTTCGATTAAGAAGGAAATATGTCCTGGAAAAAACAGCTTAGATCACACCTGTTAACATCAAGTCCCAGCAACTTGTCGACGGCATCCTGTATTTAGTTCAAAGATCAAACGCATCATCATTCTGCCAACAGGTGGTGAGGCATCATAGATAGATCAAAGTTCAAACTACACAATTTAAGAATTGAAATTGAAGGAAAACTCCACCTGGTATAGCTTCTCTTGAGCGGATAAATTCTCATTTTGCAGCCGCTCAACATGTTTATTATTCCCCATGGCATCCAAAACAAATGCTGCTCTCTTAATAACCTCCTCAGGAACGCCTATACAATTACAAGTACGTAAGGATCAATTTGCAGCAATAATGGAAGCAAGAAGACCACTGTCATTATGGTACAAATAACCCACAAGTTTTTATGACATTGAGAAATTCTAAAGCATACTTTGGGCGGATTATTCGCACGGGGCAATGGGGTGGGGTGAGGCATCTAACAAATTTTTACTTTCAATTTGAAGAATGCAAAATATTTAAAACTCATCTGGCTATGGGCTTTGAGATATACCAGCAAGAAGTGCACAGTGTAGACCTACAGGATATAAATTTACACGTCTCAGAAAGAATTTTCTAGAAATGTATAGATGCATTCATATACTTAGCGAAGACAGATTGCAATTGGAATGTATGTCTGTATGTATCTATGCAAATGTATATGCATATAGATGTATTTATATAATTTACTTACCGTAGCTAGGAAGAGCGTGTCCTGGGACCAGACTGCAATGGGGGAAAACAAGAACATCACCGTCAAACTTAAGGAAGCTGAATGTAATGTGTCCTAACATTCTAAGGCTAAACTAGGATTACAATAATGACAGCATGGCTCTAAGACAACATTCAAAGATAATGCATAGATGTCAACTGTACTGTGGTACCCTGGCTTCTACTGAATTAGAATTACCCAGGACTAGAAAAATATATAGAACTTGTTGTTCAGGTATTCAAATTCAAGTAACAACAATGGGTGTTGTTGGGGGACTTCTGCCAACCCAAAAACTCTATGGAAGAAAACCAACAGATAAAGAAAAAGTAATTGAGCTGTGTATAAATGTTTCCAATTTCAATCTCTTTTCCTCTCTTATTTTTAGTTATGAAGAATAAGTGGATATGAAAATCTCCCATTTCTAGTCGTGCGTGTAAGTTTTGAGACACAAGACAAAGTAGTTTCTTTTCTTGTTTGTAAATTTCAAAATACAGAAGAATAAACGGTTAAATGTCTATCTTCTTTTTCCATTTCAAAATTGAAGAAACTAATAGAAACACAAAATTATGAAAAACAATGAAAAGAAGGTTACCAAAGGAAAAGCTGGGATTAATAGCAATCTAACAGAAGAGGAGTATATCATATATTACCGATAAAGAAATACAATATCTTCATTTCCAGAGCAATCATTTTCAGGTCGTATGACACTCATGTTGTAGAACTTGATCCTTTCACACTGCAATAAATGAAAAGGGGCATTAGAAAATTCATGTCCCAAGACAACAGACTTTTGGAATAGAAGAACGCAAAATGAATTACCATTGGCAGTAAACCCTCATTAATTAGCTCAGTTAGATGAGTGCACACCAGCACCTGAAAACATGAGCAATCATTTCAAGGAGTCCCTATAATCTAACCCTATGTAATTAAGAAACAAAATTGTGAAGGTCTTTCATTTTCCAGAACCAACTTCATAATATTATTTTTTTAGTTTTGTCTGTCCTGAACTTTTACAGTTATTTCATTTTAGTTCTTGTCCTTCCAAATAAGTTCTTGTTTAAAATTTTTGCAGTTGAATATTAATGCTGTGTTTATTAGAAAAGTTATGTGTCACCATGCATACTTGGGTGTTTACATGTATTTGTACTTGTACGGAGTTTGAAAATAGACGACGTCCAACTAAATATGAGGAAAGCAATTAAAAAAAAAAATCTGCAATTCAGAAGAGGAAGTCAAACCTTAGGAGAAGCATCAGAACTTGCAAAATGATTGATGGTTCCACCAAGAAGACCAATGCCATCTTAAATGCATAGAGAAAACAGTGTGAAGTTACTAACATTAAAGACACTGCAACTGCCGAACACGATCATGCCCAAGATATGGAAAGCATATTCAAATTGGTGTACATTGGCGAGCCTAACCTTCTGTAAGAGTACCTTTACCAAATTCATCTATCAGGCACAACGATTGACATGTTGCCTGCCTGAATTTTTCACGATGGAAGTATTTAAGATAGAAGGGTTAGTGTATATTCTTAATAAAGTATAATCAATGATAGAGAGTAGCAGATTCAATACTAAGGTCATGCCATTACTCAAGCACTCCAGTCTAAATTTCTACTAGAAACATCAGCTGCACAACAATCAACATTCATTCTAGGAAAATCTTGCAACCTCAGTTACTACTCTGATTGCAAGCAGTTAGGAACTTTATCGAGTGTACCTCAGCATCATCCCAACTTGATGCAAGTCAATCATAAAAGTTGATTGTTCTGCAGTCATATGCTTGCTTCCCATAGCACAAAATATTCTGTCAATATTGATAAGTAATTATTTAAATCCAACACTGGTACGAAGGAAGGTAGTCATTATATGCAAGACAGACCTATCAGTCAAGCCTAAAGTTGCAGCCTCTGCTGGAACAAAGCTTCCTATATGAGACAAGAATACAATAAGAGCAACCTGGAAGGTGGAAGAAGAAGAATAACTGGGGTTAGAACTATGCAGGCTTGTAATTCTCTCTTCAATTCATTAATTCTACGGTAGTAGAATAGCTTGCCAATAGACAAGAAAATCTAGCATCCAGAATTACAGGATTTCAAGTGTCAAAAACTCCAAGCTTCCAAATCCAGCCTGACCTCTTCCCCGCTCTCCTCGCTTATTTACAATTGGCTATCATTTACTATCTCAAATACCAAATTTGCACAAGTGTCACAATGCTCACGCAATACCACATTTACATGTCAAAATACTTAAAATCCTTGGGGTAAAGGATGGAGCCAGAAATTTTCAAACTTTTTTTTTTTTTTTGGAACAAAAAAACAAACTTTTCATTGATGAAATGAAAAGGAACAAAAATTGTCAAGGATACAAACTCGCGGAGGGGTGAAAGGAAAAATAAAAATTTAAAAGATACAAATACATAAATCGAAAGCATAAAACAGAGACCAAATAAGCCAGCTAAACAGAACAAATAAAAGCATCCCAATTACTAAATATAAGAGAAGGGGAGTAGTGTGAGAATAGCTCGGAAAGGGAACACCAGTGAGATCCTTTGAGTTTGGCAGATGAAAGGCAATCTATAGAAATTTTCAAACTTTTTATATATAACATTCAATACTTGAGAAAAAATAGAAAAAGAAAAAGCTTTAAACCTTTATATACACACACACACATTGCTACAACAGGAAAAGAACCATAAAAGCTGTTGCCAGTTTCTGCTTTACATACTAGGCAGTATTAAATCACTGCGGCAATATTTACCTATCTTAAGCACTTGTCTGAACAGATTTTAATGCATTGCTGGCTTCTCCACAGTTGAATTTAACCTCTTCTAAAATCTTATCTTTAAGGAGTTGATACGCAACATCATTAGGAGTCACTAATCTATCTCAGCTTTTCATCTTAGGGGCATCGCTAACATATGGTGACTTGAAAGGCATAGTTTTAGAAAATGAATGACATGAAATCTTGTTCAAAAATTTGGCCCAATGGATCCAACACGATCTTGAATATGTATCCAGACAATCAATTTACCAATAAGATCGGTCATCTGTTTGGGATATATTCTCCACCATTTTGCGTCCCTTGTAACTTGAAAGCTTTGCAAACTATAGTACTAGCTGATGGACCAAGTCTGTAATTATTAGCTATTGACAATTGTATAGTAGTTTTTTCATACCTCCAGTTATAGCTATCTCTGATTGATCATTCCACGAACCGCCCCTTGCCTACTTAAGTAGCTGTACTTTATCCTCTGCTCTCCATACTGCCTCCACTACCCTACTTAAGACCATTAGGATCGACCATCCACAGCTCCATCTTAATCTCCAGTTTAGTCCATTAATAAGTTAACCTTTAAACGATTCCAAGGAATGTCTTTAAATGGCTAAGCTAATATCTCAAATTGTCGTTGATATTCCCATATGCTAGTATACTGTCTCATAGCCATTAATTTTTTACTGAGATAACCTTCTTGAGAAGATTGGAACCTTCTCATCACTAAATACTTTAGTTGTTCCCATTTTCTGATCGTGGTCAACCATCCTTTTACTGGAACCAAGTGGCTATAGTCGATTCGTTTCTCATTCAGTTTATTATCAGAGAAGTACCTTTCAGTGCGAAAAAATCCAGGGGATTATTTCTGTCAAAAATAGGCATCTTCGTTCCATGCACATACGCATTCATATCCACTATTCTTCCCTTCCACATAAGTGTTTTCTGGAGTCCCAATTGTTGCTTCTCTCAACCTGTCTCCTTCCATTCAAAATGCAGTCAGTTTCTATGCACTCGAGAGTTGCCTGCAATTCTTTCTCCAAAAGTGTCTGTCCTTTTAACATCAACTTTATTTCCCCTTGCACCTCCAACTAAATAAATATGTTCTATCTTCTACTGCATCAATCCATGCATTTTCTTAAGTAGCCGTTCGGATTGAAACCCTCTGATACAAATTAATAATTCCCCATCAATTCATTAGTTTTACTAAGTAGAGTAGTACAATAGTACACTAAATAAGAAAGTCTAGCAGCCAGAATCAAAGGATTTAGATTCTAAACACTCCCAGAGTTACAAAATCCAGCTGACCACTTTTCCATCGGTTAAGATTTTTTTTTTAATGCTCACCCTATTAAGAATATGAATTGTTAAATTATATTTGTTATCTTTTAATTTCTTATTGCGTTTATTTTTTAATAAGTTAGGGTTTTCTTGTTCCAATAGAAAAAGGTTTTCTTATCCTAATAGGTAAGGGTTTTGTTTTGTTCTTCTTCTTAATAGCTATAGCTGCTATTTATATCCTTGTATCAGCTCTTTAAAGAATAAGTAAGAATTATTTTCTTTTCTTATTAATTAACATGGTATCAGAACCTTGTGACTTTTTCGATTGGCCTTCATTGCCGATCAATTTTGATTGACAGTCATTGTTGGTCAATTTCCTGCTATTTTTTGGGTTCAATAGTTTTTTCCTCGATCGTTTTTTCCTCGTTTGTGATCTCCGCCTGAATCCATCTCACTCGCCGCCGCCGCCGTGTTGCTACTGCGTAGCCGCCGCTGTTGTACCGCCGACACCACTTGAGCTCACGCCGCCGTCGGAATGTCGTGAAAGATCGTCGCAGCCGCCCTATTTCAAGGATTCGAAGCCGCTAGTTGTCGTCGGATTAACCATCGTCAATCACCGCAGTCGCCATCGTCAGTCGTCGCCGCCACCATCAGTCGTCGTCGTCAAAATCTAGGTGTACCGTTCGTGGTGGAAAATTGACTCAACTGACCTAAAAGAGTTTCTATTTTGCTCAAATAACTAAATTATAAAAATTGACTCAACTGACCCAATTTTAACTTTTCTGACATTTCAGAGAGTCTGTAATTACGAATATACCCCAAATAAATTGAACTACAACAAATCTGGCACAGAATCACCTAGGTTGGTGTAATTAAAACCATGGGCGAGTTCCACTGGCCATGAATTTATTAAAGTACCACCAACTTAATAATTCCTCACCAAATTTTTGTACTATCATTTATTATATACCCACACATTCTCACCGAGTGCAGAAAATAAAAGTATGTTTCAGTCCGTATTGTCCAGAAGCACATCTTTCACGTGGTTTTGAAGAACTTCCACACCTTTTCCAACATTTTTCACATCTTGAATCCATGAAAGGAAGTTAATTTTTCATCTCTGACACCTTGAACGAGGTTAGTTTTTTATTGGTTGATAATATTGTTTTCAATTCGTCTAGAATATGATATATTTAGTTGGAGTAAATGGAATTTCTGAATTTTTATCAATATTTTTGTCGGTAAAAGAAGTTACGTAAGTCAATGATTCATGGCCGTGTTTATTCGTTTAATGGCCGTGATCAATGGTTTTATGATTAACGGCCGTCGTTTTAGGTCGATTGCATACAGATAACCTTGATCGGCTCACGACCATGGTCCATTTTGTCGATTCGTGACCGGGGTGTTTAGGATCACG